CCTAAACCCCAAAACCCTAAACCCGTAAACCCTGAACCCGAAACCCGAACCCCCTAAACCACAAAACCTAAACCCCAAAACCCTAAACCCCAAACCCCAAAACCCTAAACCCGAAGCCCCTTTTGATATTCACGCTTCGGACCTGAGCTCCTGATGCAAAGGGGTGTTGCATTCGGGGAGAGTTCGTTTTGACTTGGTTCTTGTCGGGTGGGTGGGCTCTTTTGTATAGGGTTTGGGGTTCAGGGTTCAGGGTTTGGGGGTTTAGGGTTCAGGGTTTGGGGGTTTCGGGTTTAGGGTTTGGGGTTTGGGGGTTTAGGGTGTTTGTGGGTTTTGGAGGTTGGGGAGTTGGGTGGGACGTTGTTTGAGGTGATTGCTTTTAGTTTTAGGGTCAACGGTTAATGTAGAACCATGAATAGTCAGGGCGGGGCTGTGGGGTTTTCGATAGGGAAGAGATATGAGGGAATCCGAACGAACCCAACGAAAACCAGAGCCAATGACCAATGCTTCAGGATGCTTCAACACCACCTCAAATCGTGCTACCCAAAGAGCCCCAATCCCCCCCCTTGATTAAGGAATATTACCCTAAACTATAGGGGCCTTAATATCATGATTTAAGGTATATTCCTTAATTAAAGGGGTACTGGGCTCCCTGGGTAGATCCTCAGATGCCTATTCAGGAGCCCCATATCTACATTTTGGGGTCCTTATAATAAGGATCCTACTATTTAAGGTGCTATATTAGGGTCCCCTATTTTCGGAAACCCCCCATATCCTGCTAGATCCCTGAGATGCCTATTTAGGAGCCCCATCTTTACATTGAAGCCTCTTGGTCTAGCTCAGGGTGCGGCCCAGGATCGAGAGACAGCCCAATACCCCACTCGTTAGATTCTACTGTTGATGATAGAAATCCTGCATGACCTTAAGGACCCTAAACTATGGGAGTTATGGTCTTTTCCTTAGTATGGGTAATGCAGGCTTTGTAAAATCAGCCGTAGTAATCTAGCACCGCACTAAATCCTCAACCCTAAGCCCTCAACTCTTACAGCAACACTATCACTAATTATAGGAATCCGCGGGAAAAGCCTTCAAAGGAATTTTTCAATTTGCCAAAGGAGTCCGCACCGTCCTGGAAGCGGACGGCAGTCTCACGGTGGATTGCTCCGAGGGCTGCGCTTTGATTTGGTGCCCCGGCCTCCCTCGGTGCTTTCAAGGGGTGCTTTGCCGGGTTGCACTGGAGTCCTGAAGGGCTTCATGGCGGCTTTTGTATGGATTTCCAATAAGCCATTTAGGGTTAGTTTATAGGGTTTTTATAGGGTTGAGGTGTTGTAGGGTTTAGGAATACTGTGTAATAGTCTTCCCACTAGTCCTCATTTGTTAGACCCTGCCAAACTCAGTTTTACTGCAGCCCCTATATTACTTGATTTACCATTTCTGAAACCCTAAACCCTAAGCCCTAAACCCGAAACCCTGAATCCTAAACCCTCTAATTTGTCTGTGGGACTAGGGTCCCTACTGAAGATCCCAAGTACTCTCCGCCGTTGAATTACCAGCCCCTGTAAGGGCAAGGACCCTGTAACTAGAGGTTGTTCTTTGCCCTTTGTGCTGCTAGCACTATCACTAAACCCCGAACCCCCAACGCCTGAGCCGAAACCCAAAACCCTACAACCTTAGCCCTACACCCAAAGCCCGAAGCCCAGAGCCCTTAACCCTGCACCCTTAGCCCTGAAGCCAAAGCCCCCAAGCCCTTCTTGTTTTCAGGTTTTGGTTGGAAGGTTTTAGGTTGAGGGATTGGGGGTTTTGGATTTAGAGCTCAGGATTGAAGCTCTCAGGCTTCAGAGGGTTTTCGGAGTTAGGGAGGGTTTAGCGCCTCTAGGTGGAGGAGTTTGTGCTTTAAGGCACAGGGTTTGGGGTTTGAGGTGCAGGCTTCGGGTTTTGGAGATATATGATATGTATGTATGTTAGATCTCGCATATTATTTTTTTGTATGTTATGTTATATCTCACATATGATATTTTATAGCTCGACGGCTTGGGAGTGAGTGTCCACTTTCAGATTCAGCCAGGATTGCTACACCACAAGACTGAACTGACCGAAGATCCCCCACGCGGGCACCCGATGAGGACACCGACGAAACCCCAAGCCCAAGATGCCAGCTCGCAGCCCGATATCCTACATCCTCATGCCCTTCCGCTCTTGGAGGTTCATGGTTAGTTTTTAGTAGGGCTAGAAGTAGGGTAAGTATAGTGATAACCCATATTAGGGAACTTATAGCTCCACTTATAGCTAACCATGAACCTCCAAGCTGTCTCCATTAAACTGAATCCTACACCTGGAAACCAAGAGCTTTCCCACGCCCGAGCCTGCGAACCTTGAAAGGCCTTGCAGTCTGCCTAAACCCTAAACCCTGACCCCTAAACCCTGAACCCTAAACCCTAAACCCTAAACCCTAAACCCAAACCCCAAACCCTAAAGCCTAGACCCTTTTTCTGAGGCGCTGGGCTCTTCCAGAAGCCTTGGCCTTCGAGGCATTACGGCTGAACGAGCTTTCGGAATCGGGTTCGTAGTTTCCCAATACCTAACCCTTAAATTTTTTGGGTTCTTATAATCTAGTAGTAATCTGAAAGTTTATCCTTTTATTTCCCTGGCATCTTGGGGAGGTAAGGGTTCTAGGGTTTTTTTAGGGTCTGGTTCGAAGGCTTCGCGAGGCTTCGGTTGAGGGTCCACCAGTTGTAGGAGGTTTTCTACTACGGTTTTGGGTGGCAAGTGTACGTTCTCCAGGAGATGTGAGGTTAGCTAAGCTCTTGGATTTAGGGTCCTTGACGGAAAAGGCTTAAAAGGACCTCCAATATTCAGGGTTTGGGGTTTCGTGTTTCGGTTTACCCCAAACCCTAAACCCTAAACCCTAAGGTCTAGGATCTCTACATGATGCGCTCATTTCTCATACGGACGTGCTGTTCAAGGTATGTACAACCTGTTCGCACACAGCCCGCATGCCCTGAAGCCTTTTTCTTCTTCCAAACCCCCAAACCGTGAATTGTGCCTGCTAAGGAGCTAACCCAAGATACCATCAGCAGAAAATTCATGCCATTTGATATCTATCCGTTTTGCGCTAGTTCCTGAACCCGGGACCCTCAACACCAAACCTCGTAAGCCCCATACTCAAGCGACCTCAAGGACTTCTCCCCGAACGCCTACAGCAATTTGAGCCCTAAAGCCTAAAGGTTTGAACCCCTAAAGCCCCAACCCTCAGTCAGAGCTCCTTGTTCCGCAAGGTTACCGCGATGAACTCCTACATTAAGCCCTAAACCCTAACCCCCTAAACCCTAATTAAGCCCTAAACCCTAAACCCCTAAGCCCTAAACCCTAAACCCCTAAACCCCTAAACCCTAAACCCCTAAACCCTAAACCCTAAACCCTGATGAGTTTTGACAGGATCCTGTGGCCGCGACACGGTTCATGAGACCTGAGGACCCTGCTCCCCCTTTTGGGGCCTGAGCTTAGACGGTGCACAGAGTGTTCCGGGCTTTTGGGTCTAGGGTTTAGGGTTTAAGGGTTTAGGGTTTAGGGTTTAGGGCTCAGGATTTAGGGTTCTAGGGTTTAGGGCTCAGGGTTTAGGGTTTAGGGCTCAGGGTTTAGGGCTCAGGGTTTAGGGTTTAGGGCTCAGGGTTTTGGGGTTTAGGGTTTAGGGTTTATGGTAGCCAACTTTTCAATCAGGGTCATCGCCAGGAACGCAAGCCTTGAACCCGATCGCCCGCACCCCGCACTTTCTCGTCTCGAAACCCGAAACCTACGTGCTGAGTTCAAGGCACCGTATCGTAACAACCGAAGCCCTAATCCCAGCACAAGCATCCCTGAGCCTGGGATCGCGTGCGCTCTAGACGTAGACTCCCTGTCTTCTGCCCTATACTCTCGTCACAGCTTAAATTAATCCGAAGAACAGTTGAACATCGTTTGGTTTTCATCATAGCAGACCGTTCTTCATGCCGTGAAAAAATCCTAACCGCAAATATTTCCGGGTCCGCAGCTCGCAGGACGACTCAGCGCCGACCCCATCGTACAGGTGGGACAGCTTGTGGTTTGGCGATGTTCTGGGTATGGGGTTTCCATACTTGCCCGTATAGCGATGCTGTTTTCAGTGGCCGCGCATGTGCAGTGCGAGATGTTGAGGCTGTGAATTGAAGAGGTGGCAGAGGCTCAAAGGGGGCTGGTTGGCGATGCCACTGTCAGGTTTGGGCACCTATGTTTCAGAGGCGAGGTGAGGGCTTGGACAACGATGGCATAGTTGAGCAGCGGAGAGATGGAGACAGTCGCACTGTTGCTGGCGAATCCTGGTCAGACCAGAGAAGCGGACTTCGACAACATTTTGGGGTTGGATGTTCCGCAGGAAGAACTCGACTTGAATGGGTCGTGAGCGACTGTAGCCTCTGGAGGGACCGTATCACCCAGAGTGTCTGTGATTCGAAGTTGAAACGAATTGACGCATTGGATCGCATCAGGTCCTTCTTCAGTGGTTTTGCTGGATGCTTTCTCCTGGTCTATATGGGACATGGCAAAGAAAGTTGTGGAAACTGGGAAATGGCGGATGGTGACATCTCTTTCTGGGATGTGGTGTCAGCGTGGCTTCAATTCGGACATGTTGCGCATTTCCAGACGAGGCGCATCATCGTTTCGGATTGCTGCTACAGCGGCAAGTGGCCACTTCTGGCATTGAGCCTACAAATTCCGAGTCTGGATGTTCAAAGTGCCGTGAACGTTGATGCCCTGGCGCGGGAATGCCAGCCAACATTCTCTCAAGTCTTCCTCAGGATGCAACTGGGTGCGTAAGTGCCGTGCTTGCCTTGTTTTAGTGCGTGTTTTCGTGTGAAGAAAGACTCTTAAATGCAGAGGAACTTGCTGGCAGCTCGTTACTACTTTTTGTGAAATAGGGTGTCTCAGAACCCAGGCAAGATACCAAAGGAGAGGCCACGTTTCCCGAGCCCTTGAAGAGAAGGTGGCGGCCCATGACTACAACTAGCAGAGCACGTGCTCACGAGACCCTGACCTTTGTCGGGGCATCTGAGGCCTGTGCACGGCTTTACCTGGAACGGTTTTGGAACAGATCAGGCATCCTGACGAGTGGATGGTTGGCAGACACCCATTTCTCAATGCAACAGCGAGAAACCTCGAGCATCTGGCATCGTGCAACAGCCACAGTTTGCGGACGTGAAATCGGCCGCGTGGCTGTGAGGGAGGATCCTGAGCCTAATGTCGCAATGCAGATGACAGACCTCTATGTTGAGCCCGACTTGAGACGTCATGGCATTGCTTCCAGGCTACTGCGCGGAATGTTGTCCAGGTTGACGCGAGTCACGCAGTCTTCGCACATCGACGTTGAATTCTTGCAAAGCAACGCGGCGGTGATGGAGTTTGTGTATGCGCATGGCTTTTCGGATTTGCGCGTTCCGTGCCTGAACAATATTGACGAGGCACCACTCCTGGGGGCTCGTCGCCGAGATGGAAGTGCCGCCCACCAGCAAGCCTAAGATCAACTTTTGGCTGAAAGACTTGTCGGGCAAGGAGATGTTGGTGAACGTTTGGGCTGCCCCAAACGTTCACCAACATCTCCCCCGACAAGTCTTTCGGCCAAAGGTTGATCTTAGGCTTGCTGGTGGGCGGCACTGGTGTTAATGACATGTCGGGCATTCAAGTTTTGTTCTTGCTCAACAAAGATCCAGGTGCGCTTTGGTCGTCGGGTCGCCGAGGAAGAAGTGCAGTTCTCGTGGAGCGATCGAGATACCGATCCAGAGCTATCTGCTTCCGCATCGGAACTCTTTGTGACCACATTCCTGCAACAGTACGAGGGCAGTTCAGAAGCAAGCCTCGGAATCAAGGATCCTAGCCTGCAGTGATGTTGGTTCGATGTGCGACCTTAGCTAGACAGCCCTAAACCAGGACGGTTCTCGGGCCGCTCGGCCACCCTTCATAATAGGTCTGGAAGCTATATAACATCATGCAGACTAGTACACTAAGTCGGACAGCAGTACAAGCCCCATCATGACGTCGAATCGTGAGTGTATATCTAAATTTAAATCTACCTGTAGATTTAGTAGATCATATTAATTTGTCCTCATGTGTTCGGCATAAAAAGTTTCTAGCTTCATTTCATTATCTACCTGTCCGTCTGCCTGCTTATCCAGCAGAAACCGAAAACCACTACCGTTTTGGTCGCGCAGGCAGTGCCACAAGTAGTTCTTCTAGCCTTACAAGAGCTACGCACATGTGCCAGGTGGCTAGCAAATGCTGCCGAGCAGCCTATGCTAGCCTCCCGACGAAACATCTTCAACCCACCTAGCCGCAATATGTTGACCAAGGACAACAAGGCCGCTTGGCTAAAGCAAACTATCCAGGAAGAGAGAAGCCTGCAGCTCTCACATCCTGACCAGTACGAGTGGCTCATTGGACAGCAGAGAAGCAATGTGGTGGCTTTGACAATTCTGGAGTTGCAGGCTTACGATCCTACAGCATCCCGGACCTGCCACGTAGGACAAATCGCACTAAAGCATTCTTGGCCAAGTTGGGCTTCAAGGAGCGCGAGGACTCAACGAGCGGATATGACAGGCGCCACTATGTCGCTCTCGCTATGGAAGTGCCTGCACAACGTTTTCCTGCAGCCGGATCCCATAGATCCCCGTCTCGAAAACCTAGTTTCAAGTCCGAAGCTGAGTTGATGTCTTACACCACAACATACCGTGAATAGGTCAGATTAACTCCATGTCTGCAGCCAAAGTTTCAACTAGGTGTAGCATCACACTTGTGCTTTGTGCGATCCCGCTATTGCTGACCTCTTCGTCAACTCAGGCCGCGAACAAATGCAGAGTTTTCAAGTTTTATTGACAGCGTCTCCTGTGTCCTGCACCTTGATGACTATGAATTCTGCGTGGACGATGAGCTTCTGCGACATGATGCTATACGTTTGTTGCAAAGGTGGTGCCTGGATCACTACGTATCGTTTTCAGAGGAAGATCTTGGAACATCGAAGCCAAAGGATGTGTGGCTGTCAGAAGTTGCAGAGAAAGAGCTGCACTTGCAGCAAGAATCCCCTGGCAGGTACCGATGGCTCACTGCTTGTAAAGCTGGGTCCGTTCTTGGTCTCTTGATCCTCGATATTGGCGTAGAGCCGCACGTCTTCGTCACGGATGTGGTGGCCAGGCAATTTGTCGTCTCGCAGGAGTACCAGCGGCAAGGATTGGGTTTGGAAATGTGCATACGCGTGCTGGAGTTATTCCGAGACATTCGCCGCATCAAGGCCTGCACCCGAAGCAAGAACTTGACATCACAGCGCTTTCTCAAGAAGATTGGATTCCGGGAGATGGCAATGAAAAGCAAGGAGTACGACTCCCCGCATTACATGATGTTCAGCCGGGACCTGACGGCACATTGAGTCCGCGAGGGTCGACAATTGTGAGAGTCGCAAGCGGGTCAGTGAGTTGCCTGCTTGCACGTCTCCCGGCGCTTCTGTGCCGAAGCTGCCGGAGCACCGTGAGCAGAGAATCCAAAGCTGCAAGTCCTTCCGTAAACACCCCTAAACCTCTTTAAACGCTCGCTTGAAATTCGTGAGTTGAAGTTGAAATGCAGGCATAGTCACAGGTGCTCCTGCTGAATTTTGCAAGCCAATATCAGCTCGAGCTTAGGGTAGGGGCGTGGTACTCACAAGACTTGGACCGTACTCTTGCAAGCATCCTATCTAACAAAGCTTCATCTCTACAGTACGAACGCTCCCTCCCTTCTCAAAGCTTCTCCCTTGACCCGAAGCTACTATGCCTTAACCGACAAAACGAGAAGTGCCCCAATATCCACCCTGAAGCCTGAAGCCCCGACCCTCCCCAACGACGCATCTTAACGCCAAAAGTAGAGCACAACACTAAGCCCTTGACCCTGGAACACTCAGCCACCAAGCCCTGTAAACCCAAGACCCTGCACATTTCAAAGGACTCACTCTAACCGACTCTCACCACTACAAAATCCTGAAGCCCCAATCCCCTAAGCCCCCCAAAATTCCACCCTCCTATTTGGGAACCCGCCTACTCCGGCCTTGATCCGACGTTTTGAGAAAGAACCCAAACCTAGGATCTAACCCCTAGACCCTAAACCCTAAACCCTAAACCCCCAAAACCGAAATCCCAACCCAAAACAGGCAGGAGAAGGCACGACGCCAGCGCCAGACCCTGGCCGCCCTCCTTCGCCGAAGCCCAAGATCTGGGAACTCTACGTTTTTTTAGGGTTTCAGGGTTTACAGGGCTGCGGGTTTAGGGTTCAGGATTTAGGGCTTAGAAGTTTGGGACTGTTGGGGCTAGGATTTCGGGATTAGCGGAAGTGTTATATATTATATGTTGTACAGGAACCACCATTAACAGACTGTAGTAGAATCGTATAGTGTGTAGTATCTCAGAGTACTAGTTATGTAGTACTTCCAGTATCATAAGATATTCAGTATGTGTATGCTAAAGTATTTTGCTGCATTGCATAGTAGATCATAGTAGCACACAGTAGTATTTAGTATTGCGCAGTATGATATGGTATTCTGTAAGATCATACCGTGCTACGTAGTACCATAGGGCATGATGAAGTTTTGAAAGGTGCGCCGTCCACGGATGCTGCACCTTCGCCCGGCGAGGAGTTTCTCGGCTTTTCTTTCTTGCAAGAACTCCAACCCCCACACGCTGTATGTAGAGCCTCTGACTAAATTGATAAGTCCTATAAGCCCCATAACCTGAAACCCGGAAATCCAGAATGCTCGACCATGCAGGGCTTGTGAGGTCTCGGGGCAAGGCTGTGAGCTTCTGGAGAAGGAGAGACTTTCGGGTGGAAGCCTAGGGCTTAGGGTGTGGTGAAGGGGATTCTAGGGTTCAGGTTTCAGGCTTTTCATAGGATTTCCCAAACTCTACCTGTCGCTCTACCTGTCGAACCGTAACACCTAAAAGAGCAGGCTCAGACTCCCCTACATCTGGGTTAGTTCTAAACAGCCTGGAACTCTCGTACATTTACGTAGCTCTCCAGATTAGGGGGCGACCCTTCGGAGTATTGCGCGATTATGGACATTACAGCACGAGCCAACACCGTCTTGTAAGTACCAATTACGTAGTTCAGGCACCTACATTACCCTAAACCCTAAACCCCAAACCCTACCAATCAGAAAAAGCTTTGTCAAAGCGTCCCCCGAGCCAAGGCCAAAGCGCATCGCTCGAGCAGTTGCGGTGGAGGTTGGCCCAAGAAACGTGAGTTCTGCAAGAGGAGGTTTATTACGTCTCCTTATTTTCCTGAGTAACGAGTTTGAATTTGATCCTTCTGTGCTTTTTCCTGTTTTCTGGAGAAATAGCTGGGAAGTAGATGGCCACACCATAAGACAAAGAGCACTCAGATGGGCTGTGCTGATTGGTGTTAGCCTCCGAGTTTGGCGTTTGACTCAACCGTTAACCTTTGCACCTCTACACACCTAAACCCCGGAGCATCAAGCCCGTGCCTATCTCTACAAGCCGCCGTCGAGTTTACGGTGTTCTGGTCCTCGAGCCTCCAACGCCCGACGACCTTCCAAGCAAGCTCTTTACCTAAACCCTAAACCCTAAACCCCAAACCTTAAGCCCTAAACCCTAAAACCCTAACCCTAAAGCCCATCCTAAGAACCTGAATGGACGGGATCCAGCACTGCTCCTCATTTGGGGAATATTTCTATACATGCATAGACCGTGAACTCTATCTGTCTTACGTGGGCCACACGCGGTTTGAGTTTTAGGCTCGTTGCGTTTCACGTTTGATAGGGCATGGGGCAGGGAGGTTAGGGTGATATCACCCCACCAATCTTAGCACCGAGCAAACACCAGCAGTCTTGGAACCGAAAGAACCGCGAGCTCCGAGCCTTCAAAGGAGCCACAGCCTGCAATCGCAATCGGAAGCAAACCGTTGACCTCAAAACCGCGGGGCTCGAATACAAGGTAGTAATAATTGGGACAGGGTTTTGGGGTATATTCTGCAAACTGCAACAATTAAACAGGAACCCAAGGAGTAGTGTAACCAATGCATGTGATGGAATTATACCCTGGACCACCCTTTAAAATTCCACGCGTAAGCCGAAGCCCGAAACCTTAAAAAGCAAGACCCAAAACCTTTCGCGAGGCTAAAGCGCTCTTCCAGTTCATCGCCTCCCATGGCGCCGACCCAGCACGCAAGCGGCTGTTTGCAGGCTTTTGGCTCAGGGGGTTTAGGAGTTAGGGCTGCAGCATGTTGTAAGGGCTAGCAGCTTAAGAGCTTAAGGGTTTGAGTTTAGGCTTAGGACCGATCTCTTTCGTGAAGGGATAATTAGCATGTAGGGTGAGCCTTTGGAGATGCTTGGCCT